CACACACACACACACACACACACACACACACACACACACACACACACCTATAAGAAGTGCAATGCTGGAGGATGAACAAAGACAATGTTTACAAAGCTACAGTTGACCCTCAGAATTGCATTTCTTTGAAATTCAACCAACCACCCACCTGTGGTTGGTTTCACATCAGTGTGAAAATGTACCCTCATCAACCCCCCACAGATCTGGAGGGAGCACAGTCCCTTGTGTGCAGGCCCTGACACTAGTCTGCTGGCCACCAGACCCTTCTGAATCAGGGGTGGGGCAGAGCAGACAGCACCACAACTCAGTAGCTCACACCAAGCCTACCAATGTAATTCATTACCCACCTTCCCTTTCTCAGATGCTATCTTCTTGCCCCTCCCTTCTAAATACTATCCATAGACTTCTTCCTTAGAGAAGGAGCACACACTCTACAGCTGTGGTTCCCTATCTTGACTGCACAAAGATTTGTCTGGGAACCTTTAAAAGTCCTGCTGCCCGGCCCATGACAGACTAATCCCTGGGAGTGGGCCTGGGCAGCAGAAGTCTACAGGCTCCCAATGTGGATACAACAAGCCCAAAGTTGAAAAATGTTGGGATTCCTGGGTGGCTCAGTCAGTTAAGCCTCTGACTCTTGATTTTGGCTCAGGTCATGATCTCTCACAGTCACGAGATGGAGCCCTGCTCCACTGAGTGTGGAGCCCACTTGAGATTCTGTCCCTCTCTCTCCCTCTGCCCCTCCCTCACTTGTGTGCTCTCTCACACATGCTCTCTCTCTCAAAAAAATTAGAGAGAGAGAAAGAAAGAGAGAAAGAGAGGAAGGAAGGAAGGAAGGAAGGAAGGAAGGAAGGAAGGAAGGAAGGAAAGAAAGAAAGAAAGAAAGAAAGAAAGAAAGAAAGAAAGAAAGAAAGAAAGAAAGAAAGAAAGAAAGATGTTGCTCTAAAGAAGGTTTGGGAAACACATCATGTCCCACCACACCTGCCAATCCATACTGTCTACTTCCATATAGAAACTGGGCCTTGGGTTACTAGGCTGCTGCACTCAAGGGTCCTTCTCTTCATCTCCCAGGTCAGAGAGAAACTAACAGTACATCTGAAGAGGATCAGCCTACAGAGCCATGTGGAAACTGAAGAGGGAATGGTGTCTGGGGATGAATGAATGAATGAATGAATGAATGAATGAATGAATCCAAGAATGAATCCAAAAACAGGATTAGACCCCAATCAGCAGCAGCAGTAGTGCTCAGCTGAGGAAGCTTCCAGGATCTGCCTCAAGCAAGAAAATAATTAGTGTACGTTAATCAACAATGGCAGAGCAAGCACAGAGACGGCATCCTATCTAAATGGACCAAGCTGTTTAACGGTGAAGACTATGCTCCTCCAGACAAAGGCAGAAGAACATGATTAAGCTTATAAAATCATGAAGAATATGGTAATATATATAGTGAATATGAATACACTAACACTTAAATCTTGAAAGCTGTAACTTTTAGACTAAGAATTGCTACTCACAGAAAATTACAAAGCTGGTTTCTGTAGTACTGAGGATATAAACAAATCCCAGCAAGGCTGAGAAAACCCTCAGCTTTCTAGACTGTCCAGGAATGCCAGGAATATGGGTACCCCATGGGAGTCTGCTCTCATTGGAACTGTCATCAGAGAGCACAATGATATTCTGGGACCTGGTGCATAGGTGATAGTATGGCTTTTAAACCAGTGACAGCAGCAGAGTCACCTTGGTTGAGGGGGGTGAAGGTGCCCTGCCTCTTGCCCTTGAGATATCCTAGAGGCAGAGTTTGGTGTCTGCCATTAGTAGTGCATGTTACAGTTTACAGCACCCTTGAGCCACATTTGTTCCAGCCTTCATTTGCCCTCAGGAGAACCCCACATACTAGGAAGTGCCACACACCCCTGCACAGGAAGGCTAAATCCCTGTCTGCATGTGGGGCATGACAATGCAGCCAAGCTTGCAGGAGCTTGGGCAAGAGACCAACTCTCAACAACCAACTCTCAACACTGCAGACTGCACTTGTGGGGATGCTGCCTGTTCTCTGCTCTTCTCCACCCTTATTTCTCCTCCCCCTATCCCCCACTCCAATTCGCTCCACCTCTGAGAGACACCATTCTTCAAATTCCAAAGGCATCACCTAGATTTACTCCTGAGCCTTGGAAGTAGCCCCTTTTTGGTCACACCAGCAAAGGGAACATGGGTACTAGATTAAGCAACCAGAACACATTTGAACTTGCTGTGTCTCATGCCTCATGTCTAAGAGGGTCTCCTATCTAACAGAATCCTTAAAACACTAGCTTAGGTTAGTCCTTTTGATGCTACCACCCAGATCAGTGGAGCTGAGGTGACTTGTCTGGCACCCTTCACTACCTACCTTGCTCCCATGAACACTCAGGGAGTATGTGTTTCCCTATGACCAAGTACCAGGACATGGTGGGTCCAAGCACAGAAGGGCCATGATATGCTGGGGAACCATCTTCAAAGTAAATAAAATAAAGCCTAGATAAAAGTATAGTTCCATGGCCTTACAAGTGGCCTGCATAATGACCAGGCCTGAAGCTCAAGCTTCAAGAGATTCAAGACAAATGGCCTCTGATGTTCAATAAATGTCTAATTAATGAAATGTCTAATTTAAAGAAACGAAATGGAATCAAATTGAATTTCTCTTTCCCAAAGTTACCCTGCAGAGCCTTGTCAGGCCAGGTCCCATAACCCTCCAAGCCTGAGGAGAGCAAGATGGCTGCTTCAACTTCCCCAGCACCTGGATACATATACCTGACCATCTGGCAGGAGCTTCCACACTGCTCTGCTTCACCTGTGACCATCTCAATGGATAAGAACTCCTGGAACCCATCTGCCTCACACCCCTGGACAGCAAAGCCTACGTCTGGTGACTTCCATGTATATTTCTATGGCCGCCACTGCTCCTGCCATAGCCATGGCCACAAGGAAAAGCCATAGCCATAGCCATGAGCACTGAGCACCACAGTCCTGGAGGATGCACGGGCTGGACCAGGGCACACCAGCAAAGGGAACATGGGGACTAGATTGAGCAACCAGAACACACCACCATACAGGGCCACTCTACATACCTTATCGTCACAGGAGTAAAAAGCAGCAATGTGGTGACATTGTCTAGGAAGGCAGACAGGACAGCGGCAATGAGACACAACATGATGATCATGGCCCACACTCTTCCCCTAGAGAGCTGGTATGTCTGAGATGTACACACACAGAAAGGAACAAGCCAGGATCAGTGGGGTTGAAGAATAGATGTGACTTTTCATTACAGATTATAAGAGCCAGTGATCCAAATAGCCACTACATGGTGGGTTAAAACTTAAACCAATGAGTTCCTAAATTTGCTAAGATGAGGAAGTGATGACCTGTACCTGGACATTCTGAATCCACCATGATTTACCCTCCTTCCCTCTGATTCTCCTTCTTCACAGTGCCCTTTGATGGTTCACTGGTCACAAGGTGATTGCCCTCTATCCCTTTAACATTATCCAGTATCTTACAATCTCCTTTTGGTTAGACAGCCTGGGCTATGACCCTCAAGCCTGCTGATTGTTGGTTATCTAAGGGACTTAGATCTTAAGGATTTTCAGTACCAAGACATTGAGAGGAAGAGACCAGATATTTGAAGATGCAAGATGGCACACAAAGACGGCAAAAATTCTGTCATTCAGAGAATGACAAAGCAAAGGGCTTTGATGAGTAAATAGTCTTTTAGAAGAACTTTCCAGTTCAAAAAAGAAAATCAAGCACAACACTAGCCTTTGCATTAGCAAAATATGGTAAGATATCCTCTCACCAACCCTGAGTCATAGCACCAGTGCAGAGTCTGGCCATCAGAACTTGCTGGCAGATTTCCCAGGATTTCAGTTATAAAAGTGAATGTTTATATGTTCAATAATTAGAAAGTCATCACTGAAATTATTTCAACACAAAGTAAAGTAATCAGAAGCTGATGACTTGAAATATTTAGATGCTCTAAAATGCAAAACAGGGGCGCCTGGGTGGCGCAGTCGGTTAAGCGTCCGACTTCAGCCAGGTCACGATCTTGCGGTCCGTGAGTTCGAGCCCCGCATCAGGCTCTGGGCTGATGGCTCAGAGCCTGGAGCCTGTTTCCGATTCTGTGTCTCCCTCTCTCTCTGCTCCTCCCCCGTTCATGCTCTGTCTCTCTCTGTCCCAAAAATAAATAAACGTTGAAAAAAAAAAATTTAAAATGCAAAACAATTTTTGATATGAAGCTCTCAACTTGCCAATTTAACTAATGCTACACAAACATTCAACCCAAATACTCTTTTCCTTGATCTCCTTCAGTTTATTGAGAAGATCAAAGTGTTTCTCAGAGCCACCTAACTTAGGACAGCAATTGTACCCAGCCTTACACCCATAATTTTGTAAAGGAAGATGGAATTTTAAAATATTTGCTTTAAGTGGTAGCTTTATTGACTGAATATGTAATGGTAAATAACAGTGAATTAATACATAAATATTAATACATAAATATTAAATCCCACATCAAACCTACCTTTACAGCACAATAATCAAAAAATCCAGTTTCTGAAAATATGGCTACTAAGATCATCTGTGGGACAAACAGAAAAAGGAGACAAGAGGAATCTTTTAGAAGTATAACATCCTGAAAGGACATCAGAGTGATCAGTTACAAGGCCTCTGCATGAAAGCTACCACTTCATCAAGCTTCATGCTTTTTTGCTGAGTGTAGTCCACTTAGTAATTTCTTGAATAGAGCCTCTTGCTTATAAGGCTTGCACCTCTATTTTTGTCCAGATAAATTATCATTCCACCTAATCTTCACAAAAGTCATCAGGTGTTACCATTACTCTCTGTTTTATAGATGAGGAAACCACAGGGCAGAGATGGGAGATGACTTGCTCACAGACACAAAGCTAGAAGCAGGAAGGGAAATGAGCCGGAATGTGGCCTTCTGCACCTAAATGTCCACACAAGCAACAATTAAATATTTTAAGATTTTTAAACTGAGTTAAATTTTGTTTCCTAAAATAATGGGACAGATTTTCATCACCAATTTGACCAAGAGACACAAATAAGATCAGTTACATTGAAATGCTTATTCTCTGGGTTCACAGAACCCAGAGAAGATTCTGGAAGATTCTTTATTCCACCTCCTATGATGGCAATATACCATTTGTTGAATTTAGAGAGAAAAGCTACAGGTTCAAGTACTAATCCTTCCATTTAGAAGTAGTTTAACCTTATGCAAAAAAATTATTCAATCCTCTGTACTTTAGTTTCCTCACCTCACCTCTGAATGTTTTATTCCTTGTTAAGGCTGTTGTGAAAATTCAATAGAATTATGTAAATTAAAGTACTTAGAAAACAGTAGGCCCAATATTATCTTTCAAATATTCAGCACAAAACAAAAATTTCCAAAAGTCAGTTTAGACTCAATACAAATATCTACCTTGTCTATAATGACCATCGATGTTCATCCTAATCCAAATGGCCACCTGTTACTGTCTGTAGAATGTGGTGTTTCACTCACCAATAGAAGCGTCACATGAACTGAATGGGTAGGTCCTATGTGGTCTTCCATCATTGTGGGGAAGCTGATCCACACATTTGCTGCCAAAACTACCCAAAAGAGACTTAAATTCAGGGACCAGGGTTAAGTGGCCCCATGGGGTGGCTAACTGCCATGAAATAAAGAGGAAAAGGCAGGAGCCTGGATACATAAACTATCTTTGCACCTCCAAAGTTCCAGAATCATAGGAGCTTGCTGAATGGTTTCAACTGAGAAAAAAAAATTAAACCATGTGTTATGGGCTCAATTGTGCCACTTTCCTCCACAAATTCCTATGTTGAAATCCTAACCCCAGTACCTCAGGATAAGTTAAAGTGAGGCCCTAATCTAATATGACTGGTATCCTTATAAGTAGAGGAGATAAGCACACAGACACACACAGAGGGAAGATCATGTGAAGATACAGGGAGAAGATGATCATCCACAAGTCAAGCAGAGAGGCCTCAAAAGGAACAAGCACTGCTGACTTGGTCTCAGAAATCTGGCCTGCAGAAGTATGAGGAAATAAATTTCTGTTGTTGAAGGCACCAGTCTGTAGTACTTTATTATGGCAGAGCCAGCAAACTAATATATCATTCATTTAAGTTTTTTTTAACCTCTTTTATGAGACATCTGGTATGTCTTCCTTCTTCCTTCCAAATGCCCAGACTCTACTACATACTTTTCAAGACCAACAAGAATATGAACTTCTCTATAAAGGCTAAGTTCAGAGCACTGACCTGTCTCCTTACACTGCACTCAGAGAGGAAGCAGCTAGTTTGGGTCACATTGAAGCCTAGAGTAGCATGGCCCTCTCTTATGACTACCAGAGGGGATAAAATATTAGCCAGGAAAATTAAGATACATAATAATCTGCTTTACACAGAGTGGATCTTTTGTCCAGAAAGGGGAAACCCTCCTTCAGACCACTTAGCCATTGTAGGGTCTGTTCAAGAACATGTGAGGCATTCCTACTGATATTCAGGATCTTAGCAAATTTCACTTCTTCTAGTTAAATTGGTTTATGACACACAAACTATTACTTAGGTTCAATTTCTTTCATTTTCCATGTATTTAATTACAGGTGTTTTTCCAATCACCAAAACTTATATGGTTCACTTATTTGGGATAATCCATTGTATATTTTAAGGGAAGCAACTCAAAAATGTTACTAAGATATCTAAACGACAATATTATTTAACTATCAGACAGGACTAAGACTGCAATTCTCCAGCTAACTAACCAGAGCACCAATCATTTCATTCCTCCACAGGAGAAATTGGCTAGGCCTGCGCTAACACTTCTTAATCAAGCTCTAATTGTCAAGCAGTACAATGTCTTTAATATAATGAAGTATTATCAGCAGTGGCAGCAAAAGAGAAGGCCCCAGATTACAGCAGGCTTGGAGCCCTGTCCTACTGAGAGGATTGTAATTACCATGCCAAATAGCAGGGCCAAGGTCTCAAAATCAATCCACTCCACCACATGGGTCAGGCTGGGTCTCTGCAATCAAAGTACAAATTTCCCAATTAGTTTGAGGCATCATCCTTCTGGTGATAGCTGTAAAAAATGTGCCACTCTTTATAGCAAGCCCACTCATTTGACCACAGTCAAAAATCATACTATCCACTTGCTTTTAAAATTAGAGTATAACATCAATGAAAACGACTCGTGACCCAAGACATTATAATGTCAAGCTTATACATTTAGTAACAAGAAAAGCAAATTTCCTAAACCCTGTCCCTGGCAACTCCAACTCCAGAACTGCAGCCTGAAATGCAGGACTGACCCTTGAGATCAGTGAAGTTCCCACATGCCTTCCTTGGTATTGGAGCATGAGGCCAGGATGGCAACAGCTGAAAGATACACTTGTCCTACTCACCAGTTGTTCATCCACTCTCACTTCATCTTCTAACAACCCTGCAGAGTAGGGAAGGCTGAGGTCATGGGGAATTGGGAGCACAGAGTATGAAGTTAGGGCACTTTGAGAGTCTCGTTGTTGGGAAAGGACTGCATGGTGGCCCAAGGAGCTACCCGCAGCACAAGATGTGTGCCGCATTAATGTTTTCTAAAACAAAATAGCTACTACTATATTACTCCTTAACAGTTAATAAAAATAACAGTTGTTTATGTATAAGTTTTAGCATTCTGGGACATTTTACCCTTAGGGTTAGTATTTTTTTATACCAACTCTAGCCAAAATGAATGAATGAATGAGTGAATGAATGAATGAATAACAACATAGCCCCACATAGTTTTTTAAACCAGTTATTATTCTTTGGCTAACTAAATGGCCTTTAGTAGTACTTTGAAGAAAAAATCCTTTAAATTCTATAGATTTTTTTTTCAAATTTCTATTTAAATTCGAGTTAGTTAACATACAGTGTAACATTGGTTTCAGGAGCAGAACCCAGTGACTCATCACTTACATACAACCCTCAGTGCCCATCCCAAAAGGTGCCCTCCTTAATGCCCATCACTCAACTACCCCCACCTACCTGGTTCCATCAACTCTCAGTTTATTCTCTATTGTTAAGAGTCTCTTATGGTTTGTCCCCCCGCTTTTTTTCCACTTCCCCCATATGTTCATCTGTTTTGTTTCTTAAATTCCACATATGAATGAAATCATATGGCATTTGTCTTTATCTGACATTTATTTTGCTGTTGCTGGGAATGCAAACTGGTGCAGCCACTCTGTAAAACAGTATGGAGGTTCCTCAAAAAGTTAAAAATAGAACTAACTACCCTATAACCCAGCAATTGCACTACTAGGTATTTACCCAAAGGATACAAAAATATGGAGTTGTTTTCAAATCCAGCTCTGTGTGCTGCCACCTTCTTCAGTTCCAGCACTGTTCCTTCAACAATGGCAGGCCTCTATCTCCAGTGGACACTTGGGCTCTCTTGCTTTTGCTTCTCTACATTCACTCCTATGTTCCTGAAGACAGGCCACATGCAGACCCTGATGTGGTGCCATCACCCCCAAATATGCATCTCCAGGGACCTCCTGATGTCTGCAAGACAGAACTCCAACCTCACCATTTCTCACCTCTCTGCTCCAGGCAGGATGCCCCCCTCTAGTTCCCAAGGGCTGACAGCACCCAGAGCCAAATCTAACCACTCAGCTACACAGCCCTGAGCAACTGCATAGCGATGAGCCTTTCCTCAGCTAAAATGCAAAATAAGAAATGTGTGTGAAAGTCAAATGAAAAACAGTCATCAATGTTGATAAGATTTGTTGGTTCATGCCTGCAGCATGGTTCCTGAGGGAGAAATGTGGAAATAGCATATAAAAGAATGAAAATCACTAGCTAATGCCTAATTGTTGGACTATCTTTGAATCTTATATTCTATACAGTGGTAAGCCATTGACTCAAAATGTTACAACTTACGTCTCCAATCACAGCCAGCGCTGCTAATGCTGCAAGGGAACCCAACATGGCTGCCAGTGTTCTGTGAACAATCTGTAAAGGAACATAGGAAATTATTGCATTCCAGTCCACAGGGTTTTAAAATGTACAAAAAGCCTATATTGCTATTAGCATCCATCAATGTTATTTCTATATGCCATTTTATACCATATCTATTAAAAATACATATAAATCATGGGTCCTTTTATTTCAGAATCTGGAAACCCCAAATACACACACAAACACCACCAGTCTGCCTTCTAATGAAAGCTAATTTCATTTCCTGAATAATTAGATGACCTAGGAATAGAAGCAGAAGGCTAACGTATATTCTATAAGGAAGCCTGCAGTAAATTGTCATTAATTATTTACCATATAATCCTGAGGAAAGTAGACCATTAGTTCTACAACATATATCAATTCTTCCCAATTAATGACACTGTTATTAAACCAAAGGTACATAGCCAAATGCTTAATCTAATTGAGATTTCAGTGTTACCACTGAATCATGAAAGTATATTTTTTATTTAATTATAATTCAAATGGACATGGAATTTATGAGACAAAATATCTTCATAGAAAGACAAGGATGCAGAGAAATTGTAACCCTCAAACACTGATGGTCGGAGGGGTGCCTGGGTGGCACAGTCAGTTAAGCATCCAACTTCAGCTCGGGTCATGATCTTGCAGTCTGTGGGTTCGAGCCCCACGTCCAGCTCCGTACTGACAGCTCAGATCCTGGAGCCTGCTTTAGATTCTGTCTTCCTCTCTCTCTGCCCCTCCCCCGCTCATGTTCTGTCTCCCTCTCTCTCAAAAATAAACAAGCATTAAAAAATATAAAATAAAATATTGCTGGTGGAAATATAAAATGGTGCAGCCCTCATGAAAAAGTTTGGAAGTTTCTTAAAAAGTTAAATAATAAATTACCATATGACCAGAAATTCCTTTCTTAGGAATCTACCTAAGAGAAATGAAAATATATGTCCTATTAAATTAATTAAATTAGGCCATTAAATACAGAAGTGGTTCTAATGCCTTAGCAGCCTACATAAGCAAACCAAAATCTAAGCCTATAATAAATGCCTCAACTCTAAAAGATCAAAATCTATAGGGCCTCTGGTGGCTCATTTGATTAGCATCTGACTCTTGATTTCTGCTCAGATCATGATCTCACAGTTTATGAGATTGAGCCCTGTGTTGCTGGACTCTGCCATGTCAGCGCAGAGCCTGCTTGGAATTCTCTCTCTCCTCTTTCTCTGCCCCACCCCACCCCATGCCTCTCTCTCTCTCTCCAAATAAATAAACATTGAAAAAAAAAGAAATCAAAATCTAAGAACAACTGATCATAAACAGCTAACTAGGCTTCCCAAATAAGGCAGATACTTCAGCTATAGCCAATCAAATCATTTTTTTACTTTGCTTTCCCCCTTTTCTCTGTAAAAGTCTTTCCCATAGCTCCTGTTGATAGAGCACTTCAAACCACTTCCAGTTTGGCACTGCCCAATTCTAACTGATTTTTGGTCAAATAAACTCTTAAAAATGTACTATACCTCAGTTTATTTTTTTAACGCTTCACATAAAGCATAAATGTTCATAGCAACATTATTCAAAATAGGCAAAAAACTGGAAACATTCCAAATGTCTATCCATGATGAGTGGATAAACAAAATGTAGTATATGCTACAACATGGAGCTAATGATACATGCTATATTATGAATGAACCCAAAATGCATTATGCAAAGTGAAAAAGTGAAACACAAAAGACTACATTGTGTCATTCCATTTATATGAACTGTCCAGAAAAGGTTAATTTAGAGATACAGAAAGATCAGGGTTGCCTGTGGCTGGAGGTAACAATAAGGACTGACTCCAAATGGGATCTTTATGAGATAAATTAATATTCTAAAATTGTATCATGCTTTTTCCATTTTTTTTGTGTCTTCTTCAATTTCTTTCATAAGCTTTCTAGGTTTTCAGCGTATAGATTTTTCACTTCTCCTGGATATGAAGAAAAAATATTGCTAAAATGTTGATACTACCCAAAGCAATCTACATATTCAATGCAATCCCTATCAAAATAACACCAGCATTCTTCACAGACTAGAACAAATAATCATAAAATTTGTATGGAACCAGAAAAGACCCCAAAT